CATCATCATCATCATCATCATCATCATCATCATCATCATCATCATCATCATCATCATCATCCACCCACCTGCCGTTGTTAACCCCATTCTCTCCCTCCCCCCCCCATACCCATCTTCCCCCGCCTAAAAAAAACCTTACCAAAAAACCTCTCACCTTTGATTGTGGAACCCCATCCGGCTACGGTGCACTCGGTGCCAATGGGGAAATCTTGACCTGGCTTTGGTAGGCATATTGGGTGGATACATTCATATGTCTCCAAAGGAATAGGCGAATCGAGAGTGAGAACTGCCACGTCATAATCTGTTTCGGGTAGTGCAAGATAAGTAGGATATACTATAACGAATATGAGCAGGGGCGGACTGGGTCTTAAAACCGGCCCGGGCATTTGCCATCCGTACCGGCCCACTAAGGCCTAGTAAAACACGAAAAGCCAACATGTTTCTAAGCCTCCATACTACTATTATACTAGTTAGAACACAGAAACAGACAAAAACATCCATATTGTACTTGTGTGTGTTTGGATGTCTGCATACGAGTGCGCGCGTATTTGTGTGTACGTGTGTGTGTGTGTATGTGTGTGTGTGTGTGTGTGTGTGTGTGTGTGTGTGTGTGTGTGTGTGTGTGTGTGATAAGCAGCCTTTTAATATATTATAACATACATGTCGTACAACCGAATCAAAACAACATTAGCACAAGAACTCATCCCAGAGCATACCTAAGAGAGTAGATGCCTGCAAAGTTCTTTGCATTTGGCGGCCACAGCATCAATGATGTCTTCATCGTCCAGTTTGGTCAAGATCTCTTGTTCCACTGACATCAGCATAAATGCCTCAAGATGTTCTGGTGTCGTTGTGTTTCGGAGACGGGTTTTGATTCTCTTCAGGGCCGAAAACGACCGTTCGAATGCAACCTGCGACACAGGCGGGGTTAGTAGTAGTGGCTTGTAAGTAACCCCAATGTCTTCGTAAGCATCGGCGAAGAGGTTCAACTTGAGTAGCACTTTAAGTAACAGCAGAGAGGGCAAGCTTTGCATGAGATACAGTAACAGTGGAACTTGAAACATTCTGTGTGCTCAGTTCCGATTCACAGTCAATAACGCTGTCTTTCCCCTCATAGTGGTCTTCAACTGACTGCTTCAGGGATTTCCATCGTTCTCCAAGGCTTTGCAATTCTGTTAGCAATCTGTTAGCGGTGACGCTATCGTCAAATCTCCGTAAATACTTTTGCTCATCTTCCATAGCCTCTGATGGGACTTCACCAAAGTTTCTTGGATTAAGAAGGAACAGATCAGCAAACAATCTAGGCGCTTCAGATCGTTTAAATCTCTGTTCAATGCTGTTAACAAGGGTATATAACATTCAATCGTATACTACAACATGATATTTCTTCATTGGGTCATCTGTTGATGTAGCTTCGTCTGTACAGAATTCATCATCCATTCGTCTGCGTCGTGTTTGCAGTTTCAATGGAAGCGACTCTTCCACGAACGAATCTGACCCGCTCTCCTCCAGTGCATCATTCACCCACTGGACAAACTTTGCAGGTGCATTTTGAGAAGCTTCGAAGTCCGCCCTGAGAGCCTACATGTTTGACAGCAACTCCGCCACCATCTTGTATACAGTCAAAAGGTCCAATTGCATGGTTTGCAGATACTTAGAAAGGGCTGTAGTGCGTGAAAATATTTGCAGATACACTTGCGCTGTGAGAACTGTTTCAAACTTGAGTAGAGCATCAATGTATCCTCTTACTTTAGCTTTAACGACTTCTTGGGTGTTGTCAGCAACAAGTATAGCGTTGAGGCTGGTTATCACTTCAACAAACAGGGCTTCGAGTGGATTGTTGAAAAAACCAAACACCTTCCTTAAGGCAGCATCTTTTGACCACCATCTGGTCTCACCAATGGTGCACAAACGTTTCATAGTTGTCGAGTGCCTGCTCCAGATGTTCATCCACTGATAAGACTCCCGAAAGAACACCGCAATGTCGCTCATCAGTGTAATATAGCGATGCACTGTTCGCTACAGCACGTGGTCTCAGAAACAACAAGATTCAATACATGAGCGTGGCACCAAACATGGGTCTGCATTGGAGCTTTGTTTGAAAGCAGAGTACTGAAACCTCTATAGTGACCCTGCATGTTTGCTGCACCGTCAGTTGCGTTCCCAACGCATTGTTTGAGGTCAAGCAAGATTCAACCCTTGCATAACTTCCGAAACAATCTGCACAAAAAGCTTTGCCGGTAGTTTCTTCGCACTTCACAATGATCAATAGTCTTTCTTAGATGTTGCCAGTTTTATCCACATATCGAACGACAATGGAGCACTGGTCCTGAGTTGTTATGTCCTGCGTTGTGTTCCACAGCAAAAAATGTCTGTTATTTCTTCCGAAATGAAGTATCGTATCTTATCCGAATAACCGTGATGATAGAATTCACCTTAGTTTTGGACAAAAAAGTAACAAATGTGCCTCTGCCTTTCGAACTGTTTGCCTTCTCATTTTTTGCCTTGCTGCTATGAACTACACGAGAGAGGTGATCAGCTGTGCATGAATCATATTTGCGTAGCAACTTAACAATATTCCAGGAAAGTACGATGATCAATTTTTGCATTTTCCAAAGTGTAGGCTGCCTCTTCCGTTCTTCCTCTGTAGCTTAGTCCCCTTTTGCCCATGAGTTTAACTACATCCACAACTCGGTTCATCACTTGCCGTTTCTTTCTGACTTCATCACAGTAGTCCTTCGCCAACACGTGAGAAATGTAATGCTTGATTGTTTTTTATCAATCAGGTATGCTGTTGAGCATTGCAGATGCAAAGACGAACGTTCATGCTGTTCAATACGAGAATGTACACGCCGCTAGTCTTTCATCCCCTCAAGGAATGCGGATGTGTCTGAAATGGTAGAAACACCAACCAGACAGAACAGTGAAGGGCATGGGGGTCTTTGTTGTAAGACAGCCACCATCTGTCTTCATGAATGAAACATCTTTGCACCACTCGATTATCTGTCTTCTGACATGGATGATGGTTCCAAATCAACAGCCTTTCTTCTTCTGTGCATGGTTTCTAGTAGTCAATTCTGAAACCTTCACTTCCTGTGGCTTCAAGTTCAGTTTGTGCTGTATGTTTTGTGCTAGCCAGGGGCAAAGCCTCCCTTTCACTTGTTGGTTTAATTTCTCTCATTTCACCTGATGATGGCCCAGCAACTAATTAACCGCTTTTGTCCACCTCGCCAAGTTCAGTTGCTTCGCCTGCTGATAGATAGCAGCAGCTGCCAATCCACTACTTTCGTCTACTTGGTCAAAATCCGTTGTTTCAACTGCTGCAGGTCCAGCTGCATGTGCCAGTATACTGGCTTTTGTCACATTTTCACCGATTTCAGGTCCCTTTGCATCAGCACTTTTGAACAGATGCAAAATATTTCGGCATTTTGATGCACTTTCAGACAGTTTGTTTTTCTTTCGATGACGTTCCTTCTCCGCACCCCCTTTTCTTCTTTTGTGGTTTGAATTATCCATTACCACTTACCCATTCAGGCCTACAAAGGAAGAAAAAGGAGTAGATCCACTGGTCTTATAAACACAGTAATCTGAAGATAATTTTTTTTCAACCAAGCGGCCCCCTTTGTCCTGTCAGCACCGGCCAACTTTTCTCCTTCGGCACCGGCCCACTTTGTCCCTTCGGCACCGGCCCAGGGGGCATTGCCCAAATGCCCATAGGCCAGTCCGCCCCTGAATATGAGGCAATGCGTTTTGTCGTGGATGGAAGCATAGGAATAAATTGATATGAAGCACGGCTATTATCTTTAATTTGTACTCGTGCGCTGTGTGTGTGTGTGTGTGTGTGTGTGTGTGTGTGTGTGTGTGTGTGTGTGTGTGTGTGTGTGTGTGTGTGTGTGCGAAAGAGAGAGAGAGAGAGAGAGAGAGAGAGAGAGAGAGAGAGAGAGAGAGGGGTGGGGAGAGAGGAGGAAGAGAGAGAGAGAGAGGGGGGGGGGGGGAGAATATGCGTGTTTGTGTAAATAAGCATAATATCATGTAGATCTACTAGTGTAGCTTTCAGACTCAGACTAAAAAATAGTTGTAAGGCTATATTTTTAAAAAATCCCTCAGACTTTTAAAGTCGTAGGACTCGCAAGCAGAGCCGGTGAGTTAAAACCCCTCGACCAGTAACATAACAACAACGAAAACGACAACAACAATGACGCCACAAACTAAGCTACATGTATTAAGCTATACCTGGTTAAACAAAACAAAACAAACCGAACAAAACCGAACAAAAACATCTAAAAACAAACAAACAAACAAACAAAAAACGTCCCCTATCAACAAACAAAATAAAAACAAAAATAACATAGCACCACTTCCTCCCCTCCCCGAATAAAGAGATGAGGAATGCGGGGGTGGGGAGGGGGTGGACTCGTTTGGGTCTGACATCAAACCTTTCGCAGTATCTACCCAGAGACGTCTCCGACAGAGATAGACAAATCAAAATGCTTTGTGCCTCTGGACCAAATAAAAAAAGTCAGGGGGTTGCATAATTCGATATTTTGCAGTTAGGTTTTAAATTTTCTTGAAAATAATTGATTTGCGACAGTTTGAGTTTATATGTGATCTGCAGCAAACAATACGCAGTTTGACCCCAAAAGCAGTTAATCTGTATGCGGGAGACGTCTCTGAATAGGTCCTGGGTGCTCACAGGAGACGTCTCTGAATATCTTCTACCCAAACCCCTCCCTCAAATGACTCCATAATTTACAACTTTTAATACCAGTAAACCCTTAGAAAACATAACATCACAACTGAAAGAGCTGCGGAGCTGGCCTACTATAGAAAACTGCATCTCCCCTCGAAGCTTAACAACAACAGAGGATGAAAAAGTAAAAGTAAGTAAAATAATACATGTACCAGTAATTTATCGACAGTAACAAAATAATTATAAATCAGACTGGCCACTTTAGAAGGACAGTGTTCTGGATCATAGGGGCCTACTAAGCATCATAATACAAGTAATATTCTTACTGTAGAGGCTCCTGCTGTACCGTGGGTGCTTGGTGACATTGTATGAAGTCGTCACGAGTTCCCCCCGAGGCCGGTCTACGCTCCTGTCATATTCTCCGATCACAAGTCTTGGCATGTAGCCCTTCAGCGAGCTGGCAGTGTGCATTGGAAGGGGGGGGGGGGGGGATTCCACAACAATATTTATTATTGATAAGATAACAACGACGACGACAGTTACAACAATGACTACATCGCCACGACAACAGTTTAAAAAGTACAGACCAAGATTTGACGACAAGTAATCAACAATAATAAAAAACAACAACAAATAAGCAAGCACACAAACAAACAAAAGGGAACAATTCGCACCTCAGTGCTTTTTGTCGTATCTCCATTTTTGATAACAATGAAAACAGTTCCTAACAAAGAGTGAGCTGAAGAAGAAGTAGTCACATTTTCACTGTTAAAAAAATGGAGATACGACTAGAACGCTCTGAGGTCGCGAATTACTGCGTCATCATCGACATGATTATAATTTTTTTTTCTTCTGGTAAGTCTTTTACGGCGCTCGCAAATGCACATGGTCATATAAGAGCGCGGGACATACCAAACATTTTCATTCGTTAGGAAATTTTGAGTTTTGCCCTGGTGGCGACCAAAGCCTACTCTTATACGATATTGGACCACCAAGGGATCTTTAACGTGCGCAACTTGCTCACTGGACCTCCGAGATTTTTCGCCCTTGTCCCAGAGGCTAGGTGTAGATCTTACCTAGCATAAGATTAGGAGTGTGGCTGAAAGACAGCAGTAAGAAGGAGCCAAGGAGTAGCAGTAGAAAGGCTGCAGAAAGACTCAGTGGCCCAGAGGAGGGGGCCAAGGAGGTGACGGGCTGGGGGTAAAGGAAATGAGGGGTGGGGACAGAAAATGGAGACGATAGAACATCGTTCGAGAGCAGGAAAGCATGTGAAAGGAGACAATTTTAGAAAAGAGAAATTTTCCGTCGCTACCCGGATTCGAACTCGGGACCTTTGAATGAGAGGCGAACACCTTAACCTCTAGGCCACGAGAGCCCCCATAATTATAATCAACAATCCTCAATGTCAATGGCACCAGTAACGACTATGAAGACGACGACAACGGCAACAAAAGGAACCACAAAAGCAACAACAACTTACAAGAACAAGAACAAGAACAACAACAAGAACCAAGAAGAAGAAGAAGAAGAAGAAGAAGAAGAAGAAGAAGAAGAAGAAGAAGAAGAAGAAGAAGAAGAAGAAGAAGAAGAACAACAACAACAACAACAACAACAACAACAACAACAACAGTCATGCAACATGTAGACCGGCAACCAAAAGTCTCTACCTTTGGTTCTTGAGTTGTCTCCTCTGAATAATACCCACTTACCCTGTTGCGTTTTAAAGTATTCGCACCTGTCCCCCCCCCACCCCCTCAACTCATCTCCCTCTCTCTCTCTCTCTCTCTCTCTCTCTCTCTCTCTCTCTCTCTCTCTCTCTCTCTCTCTCTCTCTCTCTCTCTCTCTCTCTCTCTCTCTCTCTCTCTCTCTCTCTCTCTCTTTGTCCGTCTCACTGTCTCACTTATCTATTACATTATATATTTGGCAACTTGGAAACACATGTGTAACTTTTCCCATAAAACTAGGACAGCTACAGAGTTGAAAGTTGGCAAGCACCTGCAAAAAGATAGATAGGTCCCCATGAAGGAGCCCGATTTTTAATTTATTTATTTCCTGAATTAAGAAAAATATATTTGACAAAAGGTTCCCGTCCTTCTTTGGCATTTGTGATTATTCCACTGAGAAACGAAACAAATCTGCGTTGCAGTCCTTCACAACGGAAGTGCCGGAAGAGGTATTTCGCTAGACGCATTTTGTTTTGAGAATTTTTAGCATCTCTCAAGATTTATAGCTCCATTCTAGTAGAGTGTAAATATTATAGTAGGCAAATGACTTTCAGTTGATGTTAATGCACCGATCATTCCTTTCATCGAAAGGGGGCCCAGCTAGTTATAGTATATTCCTCTCTCTCTCTCTCTCTCTCTCTCTCTCTCTCTCTCTCTCTCTCTCTCTCACTCTCTCTCTCTCTGTCACTTTCTGTTGTCCTGCTTATGTCTTTCTGTGTATGCATCTGTTAGCGTCTGCTTGTTTGTCTGCCTGTCTGCTCACTCTCTACCCTAAAGAATGTCTTTAGTTTTAGTTTTAGTAAAGAGTTTTACGGCACTTGCAACACAATAAGGTCATATAAGTGCCGAAGATTAGAGGTGTTACAAGAGAGGAACAAACACAAAATAGAAGGAGGAGAGATCAGGACGATAGACGTTTGATAGGAAAGAAGAAGCAAACCACACCAGAATGTCTTCCCACAAACGTCTCCTGAATGTAGTACAGAAGATGTTTGGCCTTTCCTGCTCTCTCCTTCATGGATGTGTCCTGTCTGTCGTAAACGTGTTGATGATAGGATCTTCGTCGTCGCATGCAAAGGACATAAGTTCAATTTCCTTGTGTGTGTGGGGGGGAATCAAGTATATCATGGTTATTTGTCTGTCTGCACGAGCGCTGTATCCTTTTCATCCTAAGTTGGTCCTGACAGGTTGGATGGAAGCAGCTCGCTTCCTAAACTGATTGAATTGTATCAATTGGGGCGTTATGCATCGTCATCGTCGCGTGTAATTACTATGATATCCTAACATAGAGGTTGGCGAATGTCCTTGGTGTCTTTGTTCAAACATAAATTGTTTTTTTTTTCTTTTGGGTATCGTATCCATTTCGTTTTGTGAGTAATGTGAGTCTGGGGTCTAACTAAATGCGAAACAAACAAAATGAAACATATGTATGCATTCATGAGGAGGCCTATCCCAAGGACCTTTGATTCTAATTATAATAACCTTCCTTGCCGATTTGGTCATAATTGAAATATTGCTTTTTAGACAACTCTTAACGCATGTTTGAACAATTTCCTCCACGATTTCGAATGCCGCTTTTTAATAATGTTAATAAACCCAATTTTATTTGTTGAACCACATTACCTTCATCTTTGTTGCATTTTTGAGGGTCTACCACGACCATTATCTTTCTTTCACTGTATCCTACTTACTCAAAGCAGTGAGCGGCAGTGATCACGTGACGGTCCGAGATGAGCGTTCCGCTACACAGGTCATCGTCTGCCGCGTCACGTGATATGTAAACCATCCAGGGAAAGACACACCTGCCTGCATCTGTGCCCCCCACCACTCTCTTGACCACTCTGTGGGAGGGACGGCCACACAGGGGGCGGGCTTTGTCTCCTGGGGATAATCGTTATTGTAGTAGAATTGTAGTTGTAGCAGGGCAGCAGTACCACCATCACTAGCACGACAGTACCAGAAGCCACCAAAACAATAATGAAAACACACACACACACACACGCCTGTACACATGATATATAAATACACAGACACACAAAAACGCAGTCAAACCTCGTAATACCACCATAATTGGGAAGACCATGAAGTTGGCGGAATAGCGGGGTTAGGGGTTCACAGGGGTTTCTCTGTTACATAGAATCGACTATCAAACGTCAAGGGACATGATCTGTGTTTGAAAAGTATTTTTTGTTGTTGTTGATAAACATTACACATGTATTCAAAGTCCAGAGTCTTCTTTCACTTTCACTTTATCTCTATGCCTTTCTCCTGGGAGAAAAACTATCAAGCTGCCAACAGTGGTTATTGTGTGCCGTGTCCAGTGTGTACCTCAGGCGGTCAGTTTGCTGGCGGTATGACGGGGCAAACTCACATTGGGGGCTCTCGTGGCCTAGAGGTTAAGATGTTGGCCTCTCATTCAAAGGTCCCGGGTTCGAATCCGGGAAGCGACCGAAAAATTTTCTTCTCTAAAATTGTCTCTTTCCACCTCCTTTCCTTCTCTCTAGCAATGTTCTGCTGTCTGCTTTCATTTCCACTTTCTGCCCCCACCCCTCACCTCCTTTGCCCCCTCCTCTGGGCTCCTGACTCTTTCTGCAGCCTCTCTACTGCTACTCCTTGGGTCCTCCTTACTGCTGTCTTTCTGCCGAACCCCTGATCTTCTGGTAGGAAAGATCTACACCTAGCCTTCTCGGACAAGGGCGAAAAAAAAATCACATTAGTTAAATAAGGACCATACAACTCAGACAGTTGGCGGATGGCGGATGGTGGTGTGCATGAGTGAATACTATGTGTATAGTTTACATAGGCGCTCCTTTAAGCACATTGGCAAAACCTTGCGGTAAGCGGGGCTGGTGGTATAACGGGAGCGGCACAACCAGGTTTGACTGCATATACAGTGTATACAATATGGTCGCTTTTAAGGACCAGCGAGTTAGCCCAAATTTCGGGGGTTTCCAGAAATCTTGACCTACATCAAAAGTGGGCACTGCCCTATCTATTGGGGAAGTTTGGGTTCATTAGTGTGTATATTTCTTTGGTTGAAGAGAAAACTCTCCTTGTCTTTTAATTTTAAAAAGAAACCGAACAAGGGGCAAAAACTTTACCTTCGATTTTCTCAAAACAGAATTTTTTCGGGATAGCCCCCTTGTGCTTAAAAGCGACCATATATTATGTATACACCCACATATGATATCATATTTTTCTAATGTGTTTTCAATGATGTAACGGTACCAGTAGTGGAATACGATTAGAGCCTCAGAACAATGACGTTAACTGTTTCTATGTCCTTCTTTTTAGATAGACAAGACCGACACCAAAGTCACAGTAATCACCTGGTATGGTGTCCCTTGCAATTGTCTGGTCTTTCCTCTGATCTGGGCCCAGGCTTGGCCCCACTCGTCGTGGGGGATATGTTGAAGAAGAAACGGCCTTTGTTGATTCTCTTCTGTTTGGATGATTCCCTGTAGCTGAAGTAAGGGAGTAAGGGGGGGGGGGGAGAATAAGATACAAAAGACGCGCTGCTTAATTTTGAGTGACCGTATATCTCGGGCGACTCTTATTGTAGATGAAAAATTAATGTGTCAAATGATGCAGAATTTATTTAGCTTTAAATGGGTATACTGCATGAGTGGGTAGTGTAAGGCTTTAACACCATGAATGGGTTAAAAATGTTCAAGTTTCTTTTGGACGCCACTGTATATTAATTGGATCTATATATTTCGCTACCTTAGAATTACAACATTTTATCTGACATTTTTGACTATTTCGAGTTACCAAGCCATGAGGTCTGAAACCAAATGTTTAATCTGCTCTATCGAAGTCGTAGATTATTCTGTTTCGTTATCGAAGTATTCTAAGAACCGTCCCCTTAAAAGTATTGCAATTGAAAAAAAACCCCACTTGAGGCGTAGTGTGAAACTCAGCATTTTTTACGTCAAATATTTTCAAAACTAGGTACTGGGCAGATAGAACTTTGTAATTCCAAGGTAGCAATTTGTCACCACTTGGTGGAATCAGGCACTCGTATTTGGGAGCCTATAAAGTGACTGGTATCATCTTAAAGCGAGTCCACTTTTGAAGAAAAATGTATCTTGAATAGAAGTTGAGATTTTATATATGAGATTGAACAAGGTGGGGGGTTGTTATATATTACATGTATTTATACCTTGAATCAAAGGTTAAAAAAAGTAAAATCCCCGCAGAAATGTGTTTTTAATACGACGTAAAAAGGCACAAAACAAAAAAAGAAAAACGAAATGAGACAAAATTGCCCAGCAGGGAGAGCAATGTCGGCTTCTCTGACTTTTTCTTGATGAGCGCCGGATTTCATCGAGGTCACACACACACAGACACACACACACACACACACACATACACATACACACACACACACACACACACACACACACACACACACACACACACACACACACACATACACATATATACACACACACACGACCTCTAAATAACTCATAACATTCCCCCCTCCCAAAAGACACATTTTCATTTCCCCCCTAAGAAAACCAAACTAGACTCACAAAACACAACCCAGAAAGAGTGACTTAACTTTTTCCTCGAAAAAGACAACAAAAGAAAACCGCCTCACTCAACCAGCAAGAATAAGTCCGATATCATTTAAAAAATCGAGGCCTGTAGATATACTCTAAAGTGTGATATAATGTTAAACCCTCTCCGTACGTCGTGTTTTACTATCATACCCATACGACGTGGGGAACTGTGCCCCTACTTTCCAAAGAGGAAATTTACTCGTTAACCCGATCCGTACGCTTTACATAGCAGTCTGTCAAAATGATTTTTTGAGAAATACTGAAAGTTTCAAAGAGATCTTCGCACACCATGTATTCTAAAATGTGAAGAATACAACCCCGAGGGTACAAAATGACACCAGGTGTACGGATAAGGTTAACATTTGTGAATGACAACAGACAGAGTGCTCAGATAGCCGAGACACGTACAGATCCACGATGATTTTTTATTCTTGTTTTGAGACCGTTTGTTTGTAAACTTGTACAAGGTTGGCCTGTCCTTGCTTCCCAACAACACTCACTGATCACACGGCTGAGGGGCAGGCAACAATGCAGCTTCCCCTGGCACATGTACTCTACAATCTTCAACGTCGAATGGGTGATTGGGTCACAGGATGCCGCACATGTTCCCTTCACGAACCAGCAATCTGCACAGTTGATTAACATAGTGGCATTGGAGTAGCACAAACCCCCATAAAAAACAAAACAAAACAAAACAAAAAAATATTCAAAAATCCAGCAGCAGCAGCAGCAGCAGCAGCAGCAGCAGCAACAGCAGCAGCAGCAGCAGCAGCATCAGCATCAGCAACAACAACAAAGACAACAGACAATCAAAGCAACAACAACAGGGACAATATTTAGAAGAAAAAAAAGAAAACAAAAAAGAAGTAAAAAGCAAAACATAAAAAACAACCAACCACTTCCCCCTCCCCCCCCCCCCTCAAAAAGAACCCACCCAAAAAGAACCCAACCCTCCAAAACAACAACAACATCAACAACAACAACAACAACAACAACAACAACAAAAACAACAACAACAACAACTACAACAAAGCACACAAATAGCTGCCACAGCAATAACGACAATTAAGAAGTTGTAGCCTACTTCAAAAAAAGTTAATTTACATACACGCAACCTTTCTCATCGAAGACAAAAGTGACTACGGAAAACCTTTTTTTTAAAGCTCGTTTCTTCTTTTCAATTGTAATTCTCAGTCTTTCAAGGGACATACAACAACATGAACCATTTGAGCCTCTTTTACGTTAGAACTCTATCCTAATTTATGTATCTCTACGTATTTTAAATATGAACAGGCGAAGTAGCGTAAATAACACAATCAAACCCCCTTTCCACGCAAATTGTAAGATCACGCAGCGGCAGACTCCAAAGGTCTTGTAATTAAAATTCCTGCATGTGGTTGAATGATGAATCTGATGTGAATGTACATTTTGTCAGCTTTACTTCTCTTTTCATATTGAATTTTAATGAGAGTAATTTATAATTTTTTAAAATGTATACCTGCGTTAGTTTTTACGGTCGTGTACGACCAAGAAAAATTTCACTCTGGGATAATAACGTATTTTCTTATCTTATCTTATCTTGTCTTATCTTATTTTATCTTATCTTATCTTATAAACACAACCAACAACAGTTAGCATGGTAAAATCAGTATCAGCAACAACTGCAACAGAAGCAGCAAAACATTAGCACCAGCAATAATGTTATAAAGTAGAGCAAAATAACAAACGACAACGATTCGTTAAATTAAAAGGAAAAACGGGGAAGAACGGAAAATGTATCACGTACTTTTGCGAGAATGTATTGTGTGTGTGTATGTGTGTGTTGGGGGGGGTGTGTGTGTGTGTGTGTGTGTGTGTGTGTGTGTGTGTGTGTGTTAGTGGCGCGCGTGAGTGTATTATATGTGCAGATAGAAAAATAGATATGTGGACTAAAAGAAGTCAAACAATAGATGTTGACTGAAAAAAACAGGAGACATGGGGAATAATGGAGAACAAGAGGATGTGAGCACCCGACAGATAGATAGATAGATAGATAGATAGAGGGAGAACGAGATAGATAGACAGATAGATAGATAGATGGATAGATAGATAGATAGATAGATAGATAGA